GTACACTGGGCATTACAAGCCTACAGTTTTTACAACACAATGCCCAACACAACAGTAATCACAGGAAAGGGTTATTATAAAAGTCTAATTTAGCACACCGGACAATAGCTGTCCCATATAGTTGGGTGGTAAGCGTAGCAAACAATGCTTGATTCAAAAGTTTGTACAACATTTTTTTTAATACCAAGCAGATACACAATTAAGATATCGAGTCTGTGTTCAGTTTCAGCACAAAAAGTTCCACCTTTTATAATTTTTGTTTTATAGACTGGTGTAATTGTTATTAAGCCACAAGTTCAAAATAATTGTCAGGGAAACTTTTTCGGGGTGAAAATTGTGAACTCTTGGAACAATCTGCCAGAGAGTGTTGTGGCGGAACCGAGTGTGAGATCATTCAAGACCAGACTTGACCAACACTGGCGCAGGTACAGATACATTTTGGAACCAGTGCATGCCCAGAACTTGCCAGCAGTGTGTAACTGAAACGTAAACAACCGCCCAAGCAGCTAAAGTAAAGTTTTGTGTACAGATAATGACCGATTGTTCATATGTGCTACCTGGTTCCAATCATAAGCCAGAGTAGAAACAGGATTTTGTAAATGACAAAGATGTACTGAGTACTCTCAGAAAACATCAATTCCCACACAATACTCTTTAATTGGCCCCGTGACAAAATGGAAGATATCCATATTATCACAAGCAGACCACTAACGATAATTTTGAATATTTTGCTTAAAACTGACAAATTCCAGAAAAATTGAATATAACTTTATGTAAGAAGGAAAATCGGAAAATAGTTTGTAACTGCACTCTCATGTGCATTCCACACACACACACACACACACACATATATATATATATATATATATATATATATATATATATATATATATATATATATATATATATATATATATATATATATATATATATATATTATGGCTTTGTCAGCTGTAAATCTATAGGAGTCCATGTGCTGTCTGCAATGGACACATGGGAAAAGATCTTGGACATGACATAAAATTAGGTGTAGCATATTGTATAAATGTAAAATACTGCCTAGTATACCTAACTGTTTTGGTATTATCAGCGTAACACGTGAGTGCTTTCAAATTCCTTTTATGACAAATGACACGCAGTTGATGGAAAAAGACTTTGATCTGAGACGGCAACGGTGTCAATCCTCAACTCTTGTGTGTGTAGTTCGATGCAGAAGGGCTGTTACGTTTGTGTATGTTGCTCCTTCTCATCTCACTCAACACTCTCCGTATAAGAATTATTGGCCAAGATCAACGTTCCACTGGTTTCCCAACCATCATATTTGCTGGGTTTGGTACAGAAGAACTATTTTATGAGCCCAAAGATGAAAAACCACACGGAATCAAAACGTTTCCTGAAGTATCACAGATCATACATAATGCAATCTGGGAATTGAGTACCATCCCAAAAGAAGAGTACCAAAGGTATAGAATCAGGAGAGATTACTTTGAATTGATAAATTTGATTAAATGTATGACATTCATTATTGTAAATATACGTATGCCCGGAACTTATCAATCATACCTCGAGTACATAACATTTTCTTTTCTCTTTTGAATATCTTCAACTTACAGGTGTTAATGCCACTAGGCATGGTCTGTGTTCTCATCTTTGTTGTAAAACTTAGCCAGCAGACACCTGCAGATTCTACAGCTTCTACTACTAAATCTGCAATTCTGGAGGACACGATCATGTTTTAGTTCTCTGTGAATTCTGCTCCCTTGACATTCCTGCATCACATTCTGCAGAAAGACCACGAGATAAATGTTTGCTTAGCATAAAGTAAACGTTAGAAAAATAAAAGTTCGTGATATAGTAATCTGTCAACTTGTTCATACCATATTTTTTTTCGTGTTTGCCTATTTTATATAAAAAAACGTTTGGTACAATGGTGTAGTCACCTTTACAGTAATAACCTTACAATAAATAACACATGTATGTTTTACTGTGTGCTGGTTTAACACACACCAGGTAACGTTTGATTCGCACGTCTAAGGTAAATGGAATCAATGAACATTATATATATATATATATATATATATATATATATATATATATATATATATATATATATATATATATATATATATATATATAACTTCATCTATTGAGGAGTCAAGATTAACTTGTTAAGATTACATCACACGGTAAAGTCTAACGGTGGCGGATGTAAAGAGAGGCGGGCAACAAGTGGATGAATGAATAGCATCTCAATGCATGGCACCTGAGCTAAAGACTAAAGAAACATAAGCATTACACTCATGAAAAATATAACAATGAAACAAGAGTAAAGAAGTAAAGTGATAATAACTGTTCATATCTAGTAAAATGAAGATAAAATATATAAATTCATTACAGTACTTGATTTAACCAGACAGAGAATTATTGGTTACTGAAAATAATTAATATCTTAATTGAAATACTGTACACTGAATGTTCGATCTAATATAGTCACTGAACATATACCGGTAAAGTGTATTTCTGGAGACTGTTGAGTAAAATATATATATATATATATATATATATATATATATATATATATATATATATATGCAAGTAAATCACTGTGGGTGCGCATGATCCAGGTATATGCTGATAACCACAAGGAAAGAAGAAAACACGTATTTTCTTCTTTCCTTGTGGTTATCAGCATATATATATAAATATATATAAATATATATATATATATATATATATATATATATATATATATATATATATATATATATATATATATATATATATATATATATATATATATATATATATATATATATTTATATATATATATATATTTATATATATCTATTTATATATATATGTATATACAGTATCGGTAAAAGCTCTTTCATGTGCAAAATATCAAAACATTTTTAGCATAAATATTGAATGCTCATGATATTGTATACAGGTACTTATAAATCACCTGAGATCTCTATTATTCTTTAACCTGTTAAACCAAGTTAGATATACCATAAAAGCTATCACTCAACCAGACAACATTAATTTATTAATGTAAACATATATATATATATATATATATATATATATATATATAAATAAATATATATATATATATATATATATATATATATATATATATATATATATATATATATATATATATAATTGATGTGGAGACTAAAAGGAACAGCTGATAATAACACTCCTACACACACATAGTCATTGCAGTATACTGCAGCTGCTACGAAAAATATTTATTTCTATCACACAGGTCATAGATAATCACATTAACCATGCATTACAACTTTCACATACATAACAAATTATGTACAGGATGCTTCAAGATTAAATGTTTTGTAAAACACAATATATTACATAATGTATGTACATATTTGAGTAAATGTTGATGAAGTTCTTCGACATCGCAGAACTTTAAAGGGTGTTCACGACTTTGCTCATACATACTGTATACTTCTCCCTGTTCCAGAATGTGGTGTTTGTATGGTATAGTGTACTGTGGCATTTCACGCCGAGACAAATTTCAGTAACAATGTTTGCAATGTAATCTGAATCCCTAATACAGTCTGTAAACAAACGTAATTTATTAAGTAGATGTAGAATTGGTCTTGTCATAGGTTAAGTTTTACCTTGAACCTTTTTTATTAAGTATATCGTGGTTCAGACGGACACATCCTAAATACAAATGTGTTATTCCGGCTCCTGTACTAACATTTTTCAAGAGTTTACTGTTCCGGTTATATAATACTCTCAATGTTATGGCGGGAGTTAGTGTAAGTTTAAAAAACTAATTTCTAAAATTTCAAGCATGCTCTCCATATCTGTTTTGATTCACGCAATATTCTCTGACTAGCATTCTTTTCTGAGTCACGTACAGACATACTTGGTGCAGGTTTGAGAATTTTTTTTTACTCTATGAGTAACCTTACCTAGCTAGTCACTGGCCCAACACACTCCCTGACTACCCAGGTGACAAAGCAAACTCTCTAGATTTGTTCCTCACAACACATCCAAGCACCTACATATTGAGTTGTCCAGCTGGCAGACAGTGTTCATGACAACGTTAAAAAGAGCATCGTCCTCTACCCCACTCTTTATAACCTAGTGACGGATTTTGTCTGTCAGCTGCACAACACGTTTGCTGAGAGCGCCCTTAGCGGTCGCTCTTCTGCTACACTGATGATCTATTTTCACATTACTACCCTGCAACATGAACAACTCATATTCTCCACGTTCGCGCGTACCTGCAAAATCCTTGGCCTCGTCGTCAGGGTCCTTACGCCTCATGTATATCACCAAGTGGTTTGGTTTAGTTTGAAAATTGTTAAGCAATTATTTCGTGCTCAATAGTTACATAGTTCTTAACACATGTAATGACAACTTGAGAAGTGTTACATAACACTGGGACTGATTATGTTTATGCCAGGATAGGGGGGAGCCACCAACACTACTGCATCACATTACTAACAAGCACCACACACTGGATGACATCTTCCAGCACGCGTAGTCATACAATCTCCATCTACATTATGTTAATTGTCAGGTTTCTGCGTTAATTAATAAGATCTTGATTGTCATTTTGCTAAACCAGTATAAAAAGAATCGTTGGATGCTGTTCTAGTAGTTCACTGTCTAGTACTGACGAGACTGGAGTATAAACTAGTTCTGGAAGGACCCATGGCAGTATAAAGTAAACATCAGTTGTAACAGTACAGTAACTCTGTCTATTAACAGTTAACTGTGTAGTTATGTCATTAGTCATCATTTTTCTTTGTTACATTGATAGCAAAAATTGATTTGATGGATGAATATTCACCTTCGCAGTTCTGAAGTATTTAGTCATTGAGTTTTATTGATTTAAGCCTTTTCATACTATTATGGTTTGCGTAGTGAAGGAAAACACATACACGTGTATATATATATATATATATATATATATATATATATATATATATATATTCTTATAAACTAACCTTAAACCGAACAGGACTAATGAGCATTAGTTTGGGTAAAAAAATTGTGATACAGTGAAAGCGCTACTGTAGAATTAGGTTTGGTTTGAAAAGGAATTTACAGTAAGGTAGAATGAAAGTAGAAGTACATGAAGAAGACCTTATGACAGTACTGTAGAGTAGGGGACAAGTAGAGAAGGTTGAGGAAGGTAGAGGAGAGGGATGGGAACGTTTACATAGTGGAGACAGTCTCTAGGTCAGTGTGTCGGGTAGTGCCCTCCGGGGAATACGATGAGTAAATGCTCCTGGTGACCACCCGGTTGAGCAGGTTCCTGGGCGGGGGTCGTCGACGGCGACAGCAGCAACGACACGCGCACGACCTCCCGCACGAGGAGTCCTCCAGGCGCTTCTTCATAGAGCGTCGGAAGTTCTTTGACATGAAGCAGTAGATGATGGGGTTGATGCAGCAATGGATGAACGGCAACAAGATGAACACGATGTTGAAGTTGTAGAACACCTGTAGGTGAGTACATATTGTTATACTACTGTAGAACACCTGTGGATGAGTACATGTTGTTATACTACTGTAGAACACATGTGGGTGAGTACATGCTGTTATACTACTGTAGAACACATGTGGGTGAGTACATGCTGTTATACTACTGGAGAGCACATGTGGGTGAGTACATGCTGTTATACTACTGTAGAGCACATGTGGGTGAGTACATGCTGTTATACTACTGTAGAACACATGTGGGTGAGTACATGTTGTTATACTACTGTAGGACACATGTGGGTGAGTACATGTTGTTATACTACTGTAGAACACATGTGGGTGAGTACATGCTGTTATACTACTGTAGAGCACATGTGGGTGAGTACATGTTGTTATACTACTGTAGAACACATGTGGGTGAGTACATGCTGTTATTCTACTGTAGAACACATGTGGGTGAGTACATGTTGTTATACTACTGTAGAACACATGTGGGTGAGTACATGCTGTTATACTACTGTAGAACACATGTGGGTGAGTACATGTTGTTATACTACTGTAGAACACATGTGGGTGAGTACATGCTGTTATACTACTGTAGAGCACATGTGGGTGAGTAGATGCTGATATGCTACTGTAGAACACATGTGGGTGAGTACATGCTGTTATACTACTGTAGAACACCTGTGGGTGAGTACATGCTGTTATACTACTGTAGAGCACATGTGGGTGAGTACATGCTGTTATACTACTGTAGAACACCTGTAGCCAAGCACATGTGATAATATACAGTTGTAGATGGGGGTCATAAAATTACTAACCATCTGTTGCAAAGTCCATTTTGTTATATACAATTTTACAAAATAAGCTATTAACTTCATGTGGTTATAGAACAACTGTTGGAAGAATTTGTGATCACTGAAAAATGTAAAACACCTGTTAGAACGACCCTTGGGGTCTATTGACCTAAAGTAGTTGTAAATCTCATGTTTGTAATTCAAAACTTTCATGGATGGTTATATTTTATTAAACACCTGATTGGAATATTTGTGGGCACATGTGTTGAACATCTGTTTGGAAACTTAGGGAAGATATTAGTGAATTTGTGGCATAGGTATATCCAGTATTTTACTACGTGTTGGTGGTGTGAACAATGTCCATGCTATTTGTAGTCTATGGGCCAGGTATCGACCCCCCCCCCCTCCCCCCGGAAATTTTTGGAGACCATGTTTTTTGGTTTGTCTGAGCCACGTTTTTTTTTCTGTATCTGTTTGTCTGCCAAACATATTCCTCTGGAATAAGAAGTTAGCCCATTCTATGTAAGAACAGCATGCCGTTCAAATCTTCTCAACCTGACAGCTGAAAGCATTGACAGTGGCAACAAAAAGCTGTTTTGACCTATTTTAGTAAAATAAAGAATAAATGTGTATTATATCTCACAGTTATTATTCATCTTTTAGCGTAACAGAAAATGCAAATGCAAAAAAGTACTTCATATGGACAGTAAAGGTTGAGACTGGAGAAATTAATTTATACAATCTAGTTATCATACCTACTTATTCATTCAAAAAACTACTGTATATTGACCTGTTTTACCAAAATTGAATTTAAATGTGTTTCACATTTGATAATTTTTACAAGTTTCGCTCATCGTCAAGTTTTACAAAAAATCAATGGAAATGTACTGAGTATAAAAGACCGGGTATGATTTTATTTGGTTGAGACTAGAAAAAATCACAAAATTTAGTTTGTTTGTCTAGAGTCTTTTTTGCCGACTCCAATGTCAAATAGAACTTTCAGTCTGATGTTCTGTATAAACTTCAACAGAATAATGAACACATTAGTGTCTGAAGATCAAACAGTTATACATACTTTAAAACATTTTTACTTTTATCCTCTTCGCCACTGATCGGCTCGTTTAGGCGCTTGGTCACGTCTCAGTACGCATTGTTGGCAAAAACTGGACATGTACAGTATTTGCTTCAGAAGAACATATTCAGGCTGACTACAAAACCTCCAAATACTTTGAATTTGCGTCACCAGGTGTAAGTAACTTGGAAAGATATAGACTGATGGACTACAATAGACTGTAATAATATAATAGACTAATTTCCTAATATTAATACGTATGTATGAAATAATATATTAATATGAATATATTAATTTAATAAATAGAATATAACAGACTGTCATCAATCCATGTAGAACTGGTCAGATTACGGATAGTACCTAACTTCAAACGTGCACTAGTTTGATTAAGGAATTAAAATCAATAAACCTAAGTGATGGTCAGTTCAAAACTGATAATATGTTACATAAATTTATTTGTCAGTGGCCCAAGGTTAAAAATGTTTTGAAAACCTTTGATGTATGATAGTTATTTTGTGGGTCCCTTATTTTTGACCTGACCTGACTAGTCACGTCAACCCCCTTCTCTTAAGCTACTCTACGTGTGTGTTGGTGTGGGGATTAGTGGATGACATCATTATGACCTGACCTCATGTTTTTAAGGTCACCCTGTATATTTAAGCCTCTCTCTGTCCATGTAGTCCAGTTGCCTCTGAAGATGTCTTGAATAAAGACGAAAGCTAAGGTGCTCCGTTGTTTCCATTTTCCCGTGTGATTTTATCAAGATTTATCTTATCCACGTTTTCATTGTGGATTTACATGATATATATATATATATATATATATATATATATATATATATATATATATATATATATATATATATATATATATATATATATATATATCACTGTAGTGAGACAAATTGATAAAACTAATTGTACTTTGTATTTCCTCCTGCTAGAAAAGATGTCTGATTTAATTTCTAAAAGTATTCTTTTGTTTAAGGTAAAAACTAATGCTCAGGTAACGGTGCTTAATCCTGCATACTACCGAGGGGTGTTTTGACACCCGAATAATTTTATAAATCTTTTCATCCAGTGATGGCAACACTGACGTCCTCAGTCTTTCTATTGCTTCCTGAACCTACCCATTGAGTGAGCACCGAGAATCTCTGAGTTCCACTGTCCACCCCAGCTGGTGTGAGAGGTGAATGAGTTTTTGTGGCTAGTGGTGAGCAATAACCCCCACAATATTGAGCAAATGAATGTTTACAATATTAAACTTGTTTTTTACAGGTAATTCTCGCAAATAAAAAAAATAAAATATAAATACTCTAGCATTTTCTTTTTTTGAAAACTGAGTACTCAAAAATCATTTTTTCTTTCTCTGATTTAAAACGGAAGGTAATTACAGAGATGTTATTTTTAAGTTTAAAAGATGTCCCAGGAAATAAAATTGGTTCTGAATATGTTCTGAACTGTTGTGGTGATGTTTTTGGTTAAAACGAATGTCCTGTAGTGGACGTCTCCCCTACAACTGCTTACAACTGCGTAGCCACAGCCACCATCTGCTACCGCATTCCGACGCGCTGGCGTCTCCTAGCAACCAAGCGAGAGCTGATGCTAGATGGTACGGTTGCTTAGCAACGAAACTACTCACCGGCAACTTTCTGGGTTTTCCCAACATGATTCATAGAGGACTGGCGGCTGCTGCTGGGTATATAAGCTCTGTCTCTCCATTGAGATTCATTCTGCCCATCTTCCTGAACAAGCAACACCTCCTCCAGCAAGCTCCACGCTGTTAACATTTATTCAACCAGGAGGCCAGCAACAGGCAACATCTTCTCTAACGAAGCTCCTGCACATCTACCTCCTTCAACACGCTACTCACCGAACGTCTTCTACTGAGCAGCTCCCCACCACACGGCATCTCCAGCACCAGACTGTCTATCATATAACTTATATATTATACAAGAAAACCACATTAGAGTTTCCTTCCATCCTGAGTGCTAGACAACATTAATATCTCGATACCCCTACAGTCCTTTCGTTTACAATCATGTAGTCTTTATGTTAATAACGGGATATAAAATAGCAGTTCGGAACATTTTTTAACCTTTCATTAACACTGCCGAATAAGAATGTTAGTAAATATTTCTTATAAAATAATTCACTTGATATTTTAATTACATGCGCACATAGATAAATTAACAATTAATAGTAAAATATATTAACACAAATATTTTGGTTTGGGGTATCATGCAAGCTCACGTAACGAATGGTGTTAGAAACACCAACGGACCTAATAGCTGCCTTTTTCATAGAATTCCTACTGAAAATTCTAATTTCTTTTAATACTGTATTGTTTTTATTTGGCTAATAATGTCACACGATTTTATTCAGCACAGATGGAGCCCTTTACACAGTGGGTTGAAGTTATCGTCGTGAAAATCACTCAAAAAAATGCAAGAGCATTATTTTAGTTGTTGTCTCCTCACACCTACGGACAGTTATGGCCGTGTACTGTACACTTATGTAAAATGTTGATATGAACACTTGAAGCTGGTGTTCAGTACCTACAGTATGATGTAGTGGAGATCAATCCTTAGACAGTACAATAGATTATTTGTATTGGGATTGTCGCATTTACCTTCATTGAATGGCAAAATTGCGATACGTCTTTTATAAAAGTCAAATAGAATAACTGAGACCTGTGAGACGGATGTTCAAAAGTTGAATTAGCAGAAGTTAAATTAGGTTAAAATTCTTCTGTGTGTCAAGCCAGTAGTAAAACTATTCACACTTTTCTTTTGCATTTATTAACATTACTACCACTTTATTGTGTCAATACAAATGAATACAAAACAGTTTTAAATGATTATTTATAATGTAGCAACAGACGAGGAGAGGTTGGTGGTGCTGGGTGGCAACTAACCTGGTTAAACTGTCGGAGTCCCAAGTTGATGCAGATCTCCATGACGATCCTCGGTCCCCAACACAGCAGGAATAACACCACTACCACGATCAACATTTTGATCACCTGCCAGTACATACTAGTTATTAGCATACACGTCTTGATCACCTGCTAGTACACACTAGTTATTAGCATACACGTTATGATCACCTGCCAGTACACACTAGTTATTAGCATACACGTCTTGATCACCTGCTAGTACACACTAGTTATTAGCATACACGTCTTGATCACCTGCCAGTACACACTAGTTATTAGCATACACGTCTTGATCACCTGCCAGTACACACTAGTTATTAGCATACACGTCTTGATCACCTGCCAGTACACACTAGTTATTAGCATACACGTCTTGATCACCTGCTAGTACACACTGGTTATTAGCATACGTCTTGATCACCTGCCAGTACACTAGTTATTAGCATACGTCTTGATCACCTGCCAGTACACACTAGTTATTAGCATACACGTCTTGATCACCTGCTAGTACACACTAGTTATTAGCATACACGTCTTGATCACCTGCCAGTACACACTAGTTATTTGCCTACACGTCTTGATCACCTGCCAGTACACACTAGTTATTAGCATACACGTCTTGATCACCTGCCAGTACACACTAGTTATTAGCATACACGTCTTGATCACCTGCTAGTACACACTAGTTACTAGCATACACGTCTTGATCACCTGCCAGTACACACTAGTTATTTGCCTACACGTCTTGATCACTTGCCAGTTCACACTAGTTACTAGCATACACGTCATGATCACCTGCCAGTACATACTAGTTACTAGCATACGCGTCTTGATCACCTGCTAGTACACACTAGTACACACTAGATTCCCATCCATAATTCAACTAGTGCAGTTGCATTAATTGTCTCAAACTGTGTATCTTAGGTTATCCATTCTGCTAGACAGGGTGAGAGGGGCCTGCACCGTCGCGTCCAAATTTCTGCACCGTAAAAAGTGATTATTTTAGGGTCGAGGAATTTTCTCCCTGGCTATCTTTATATTAAGCCTTTCCGATAAGAAAATTCGGACGACCTGCTATTTTTTTCCTCTATCCCTATGGAGTGAATGAGGTTAACATTTAGCTTTTAAACTTGAACCATCTCACGGAATTTAATCAAACTTGGCGCAAAGTGTAGTCCATCTTCGTGCAAACTCCTCTCCCGCGGGTCCATCCCTGGAGGTGAGGTTAATATTCTGAACGTGAAATGTCATTTAACTTTTGTGTGGGCCGTTATCTCATCACCAACACCTCGCGCCACACTAGTCACCAGACGTCCCCAGTGACCAGCGGTGAGCGACACAACGTGATGATAGCTGCTTGTAGGAAGTTATTTTAATAATTTAAACCTAAAGGCGGTGTCACGCGCACTTTTTCCGTCACTTTATTGCATAAATTTTCTAAAAAAAATCTTTATTCTGAGCGCGCCCCGTCACACACGCCAGTCTTTCCGCGTTCATTAATTGTCAACAAAGAAGGTGGCGCTATATGCCTCCCTCTGCATATTATTTTTTACTGTATCCATTGCCCCTTGGGTTCTACAGGCAACAATGAGATCTAATAATGTCTATCGTGTATTCTTCGGACAGCCGTGTCAACAAAGGAATAGATAGAGAGGACGTAAATAAGTTGAACACATGGGTCAATGTAAACAAACACCAATAAAGAATACACTTAAAGAATATATTCAAAATGCGATACTGAATAATTTTACAATTTAATTTAATTATATTACGTGGTTCGATATTTATTTTATATAAAAATCTCCATTGTCAACTATAGATCTTGAGAAAATTTGACAATTCGTGGAAAAAACGACAGAAACCGAGAAAGCTGACGGAAAAGATGCTAGTGTGACGCCGCCTTAACTGTTTTTACCCGGATGAGTAGCCTAGGATGTCTAGCTTACATTTTTCATATAATAAAAGTGACTCAAGATAGGATGTTTCACGTAAGTTGTTTGGACTTAAATCTTAAACAAATTATGTGTACTTTTTAATTCTGGATATAATTGTCTAGGGTGCTTTTTAAATCTATTATATATGTATTTAAAAAAAAAAAAAAACCCCAAAGCCTATACGTTCATCCCACAGATCTGAAAAGTTTTTCTTGGTGTGACAAACTATACTCTCGCTCAGAGATAAATGTATAATGCAAAGGCGGATTGACGATTTTGCGATTCCGATTGTACAATAAAGAAAAAAAAAATCTTATGAAGTTCTTTAAGAAAACCTGAATGGGAATTAATGTAACGGGAAGTAGTTTTTGTTAATGCCTGAGCAGATCACGGCTGTGCTTACCTTACAACGTTTATCACCTACTGTACTATTTACCTGTCAAAATTAAACGCAGTTAGTTATAAGGATACATAAATAGATTTTATAAGAGAGCACATAATTATTCTTTGACAGAAGAAAATCTAGAAATGTATATCAGCTGTTGGCTATTAGTATCACCACACCAGTACCCCTCATAACACACCAGCACCTCTCATAACACGCCTGCACCTCTCATAACACACATGCACCTCTCATAACACGCCTGCACCTCTCATAACACACCTGCAAACCTCATAATCTACCGGCACCTCTAATAACACATCTGCACCTCTCATAATACCTCTGCGCCTCTCATAACACACCTACACGTCTCATAACACACTTGCACCCCTCATAACACACCTACACCCCTCATAACACACCTACCCGCCTCATAATCTACCTGCACCCCTCATAACACACCTGCACCCCTCATAACACACCTGCACCCCTCATAATACACCAGCACCTCTCATAACACGCCTGCACCTCTCATAACACACCTGCACCTCTCATAACACACCTGCACCTCTCATAATCTACCTGCACCCCTCATAATCTACCTGTACCCCTCATTACATACCCGCACCTCTCATAACACACCTGCACAACTCATGACACACCTGCACCTCATAATCAACTTATACCCCTCATTATCACACCTGCACCTCTTATAATCTACCTGCACCCCTCAAGACACACCTGCACCTTTCATAATCTACCTGCAACTCTCATAACACACCTGCATCTCTCATAACACCTCTGTGCCTCTCATGACACACCCGCATCCCTCATAACACACCTGCACGTAATGGCCGTTGTGAGGACAACACCCACCTGCTTCCTGGCCTTCTTGACGTCCTCGCCCTTCTCGCGGTGCTTCTTGGCCACGTGTCGGCCACCGGGGGAGGGCGTGCGGGACCTGGTGGCAGAGTAGGGCACATAGAGCGAGGCCGAGCTGTTGTAAGCTGAGTCCCCTCCGCCCAGACGCCCATTCCTGGCGCCCATTCCCAGGGACTCTCCCCCCGTCACCCGCAGGTAGTAGCTTTCTGAACCGGATGCCCCGCCGCTGTCACCAAGGAGGCAGGCAGGTGGTTAGTTAAGAGGGGTGTGAGTTACTGTCATTCTCTCCCTCGTGGAGAAGAGAGAGAACGTTCATTCAAAAGATGTGAGGTAAACTTTCTCTCACTTGGAGGGGAGGAAGAGACTTTATTTATAGGAAATGAAGTCCTTTCATTCACTCTCCTTTGGAAGAAAGGGAGGAAGTTAGTTCAAGGGAAGTGAGATAGCCCCTCTGACTCTTGGAGGGGAGGGAGGGAGGGAGTTAAATTAAAGGGCATGAAGTACCTTCTCCCTCTCTCTCTCTTGGAGGTGGGGGAGGGGTTGACTTAGAAAGGGTGAGGTATATTCTCTCTCTCTCTCCCTCTCTCATACATACACACACTCACACACATATTGAGTAGAATGCGACTGTTTGAGTATGGATATGACAACATTTGGAGTAGAGCCGAGGAGGTCCAGAGACATATCTGCAGAAGAACACTTGTAGGACACTAATGTTGACAGCTGTGGGAGAGAAACGGATTAAGCAAGCAACAGCACCTGTACGGTGTACTGGGTGGGATAATTTTTGGGTTTCAAGTTTATAAAATATTTTCTTAAAATATGCATTAGTACCCCCTGGATAGAGTCCACTCTTATACAAACACCTAGGGCGCCAGCCAACATGTCGAGAGAAAGTGTATGTGTGTGTGTGTGTGTGTGTGTGTGTGTGTGTGTGTGTGTGTAAAATATTACATTTATTATTTCAAAAGATTTTAATTAAAAAAACATTTCAATTATTATACAGGAGTACATATTAGACTCCAATAAAAATGAACATTATAAAAGTATCATCACACTGTAGCTAGCCACTCAGTAAACATATAAAGCCCATAATTCTAGATCCCATTAAGTGTTCAGGTTCATTTAGAGTTATATTTACTCTCACCTGATGCTGTGGACACTGGGGGGGATTATGGTGTAGTGTTTCATGTTTTATAATTGTATTACAGTAAGATCATATTAAATAAATACTGTATTCATAATAGTGGCGGATCCAAGGCGGCGTAAATTTTTATCTGACTTGACAGGTGACGTGGGTTGTCGTGTAGGCGCCGAAATTACTGACCATAATGCGATGTGGCAAAATTGATGTTGCCGGAACGAGATCTGAACGCGTACTGTGTAACCTAACCAAACCTACCATAACGTAACCTAACCTAACCTGGTCATGTCGCATCTTAGTGTTATCAACTTGGCATATCGAGTTTGGGACAATGACTAATATAGTTTAGATCGCGTTCGGGCAACATCAACTTTGTTACATTGCATTCTGGACAAAAAATTGGTACCTATAAGGCTATATCATAATTATTTCGTGGTATGGATATTTGGCACCGTCCATAATGAGTTGTGGCTGTTTTAAAGAAACCCACGAGGCTAATTTTGCTTCCTAGTAATATTGTTATATCCAGAACACGGTGTGGTCATTTTTTTTCACTCAGTGTGCGAATTCGGTCTTTAAGCCCAACATATATAGGCTATACCCAGCAGAGTCTACAGATATACTGACTTTGAGAAACATTAATGTGTTTTGTGTATTATTCCCGAGTGTGACAATTGTACCCTTTTTTCCAGTGCCATTTATCCCGAGTACCGCTGGCAACACCTGGTGACTACTACACCGGTACCGTATGCCCCAGTCTCTACTTACGCTGATTTATTTTAACTAATTCTTTAGTGTGTCTTTGATCTTGATAAAATATCCATACGAATACGACATATTTTAGAATGAAGTAAATGTCGAACAATTAAGGGTGTCGTAGGCTGCTGTTTTAGGGAACAATTCTCCTTCTTTGATAATTATGAATATTTTGAGAGTGATGATTAAAACGTGATCACCTTAATGATGATGATCACGCACCACCTGAGGATGCACAGTATTTTCAACCTTTATAACAATAAAGTTATTTTAATTTCTGAAATACACTATTCTGTACAGTATGTATAATAAAACACAATACTCGTATATTGTCAGGACGAGTAGCAACTTTGAGGCTTCGTTGGTTTGGTGGTGGTTCATTTGGGTTTAGTTGGTGTTTCGGGTTAGGTTCGAATTGGTTGCTGAGTTTAGGTGAGAGGTGTATGGGTGTTGCTGGCACGAGTGACGAGTCACGCAGCAGCGGTTAAGGGAGCATGGATTGCCCTCGATAATCGTGTATGGAGGGAGAATGTTCCCGCTGTATTTTGTCTGGCAACGTTACAGAAGAGGTAGGTCTCCAGTGTGGTATTTAAGTTGTGGGCATAGTATTATTTCTAATCAAAAGGGGTGGTGGTTGTTGCTCGGTATTAAGTAGGGTGACTGGTTTTTGCAGTTAACGAGTGTGCTGGAGCAGAGGTGGCCGTCTTGGTGACCGGTGTTGTGGCCTTCACTACCCTACCTAGTTCCTTGTTGACCTAGGACCAATGCCGTAGCCAACCCCCCCAACGGGGATCGTAGGTTGGTGGCTCTGGTTTTGCAACAGGATCCCCAAAACGAGGGGAGCCTACTCTACCCCAAGGGAATCTTGTGGCAGTCCTCGTTGTAGTTGAGTTGCCAATTCATTAATATAATTTCTACATTATTTAACCAAACATACGAACTTTTGGAAACTTTCCATGATCTTAAATAAGAATGAATAGTTTATTATTATTAAATTTCTACCTTTGGATTGTTTAATATTTATCATAACAGTAATGCAGCAGAAAATAGATCCACCAATCACAATCACCTTTACATACAGCCTTCCTTTACCAAGTATTGCCAGGTAAAATTGCCAGTAAGAGACTCAGGGTGGGGTCGCTGGATCTTTGGCTGACTGTACATCCATAATAAAGCAATATGAAGCGAATGTAACTAATCTATAAAAGCGAGGTACTGTTTTGTGTGAGGGGCCGCCCTCACTCATGCTTCACTTGGTCAATGATAAATGACTCACAGACATTTATTCAACAAATGGGGTGTAATCTTGTATAAAGCTTTTTATCACTCCTATAATAGTGATTCCTGGCTACTGTGATTGTCCTTGGTTGTGATTTGGCTCCACCTGTCACCAGTGGAAGAGTAGGAAATAGTGAACATGTACTACCATCCCCAAGGGTCAGTGGTTTCCAACTCGTGGTCTGCGGACCGGTGTCGGTCCGTGGCTCAAGATTTACAGGTCTGTCAGAATTTTTATTCCTTCATTTATTTTTTATATTATTTCTTAGTAACATAAAATTATTTTAAACCTTGCGATCATTGGGTTTGGTTAGGTCAACCTGGGTTGGGGTAAATTCGGTGACGTCAAATTAGGTTCGGTTTAGTTGGGTTAGTTTACTAGCATGTTCGGCTTGGAGGCCTTTTCACGAACGGGCAAAATGACTGCCCACTTCATGAATTGGGTAATTTTACAAACGGGGCATTTGTTAGAATCACTGACTTATTTCAAACTTATGAATCTGGTGGGAGATCTTCCGTGGGAGAGAGAGTAATTCATTTGTATCAAAACCTGAAGTTATTGTTAGGTGTACTGACGCGGCTATGATATAGAGAACGCGCCCATCTAAGATGGATGCCTTAATATCTCTGATGCATGGTCACTAACCTTTTATACAGATTAATCTTCGTAAAGACGTAGCTGCGTGGAATATACTTAACGGTCAAGAGAAAACTGCTCACAAAAGACAGCTAATATAATAGTCCAAGAGCTAGGTGGGTGGGGGGGGGGGGTAATCACCTGTCTGAGGCCAAAGAGGTTGATGGTATTTTTTAAATGTATATTACGCGAGTAAGTCAAAATACCTTTTCTTACTTGATACAGCCTAGGCAAAAAACTGTGGCAAAGGGTTAAAAATTGTACATAACAGTGTGAGAACTATATTTTCTATGTTTACAGAAAAAGCTTGTAAAGATTAAAAATTTCTTTGTATTTTTATCATTCTATATAATTAATATTGAAGTATAATTTAGTGGTCAGTACTATAACTGAGTGATGAGGTTTTGTAATTAAATGTTGTACTTTATGTCTGTGGGATATCACTATGAAGCTGCTTGTGATGAAAATTTGTATTGCATTTCAACTAACTGTACAATTTCAGAAAAAGTGAAAGAAGAGTTGACACAGTGTAGTGATATTGGCCAAAAGTGGTGTGACAAGCTCGTAACAGGCTGCTTTAATGATGCTAGTACTGTAGACTTGAAAACCAATACCACAGCGTAGAATGAAGATCTTTGCAACAGAGGGAGTAAAGGTAAAGTTAACTGGGAAAGATATGAAGATCCAAGAGATACAAGCAACAAGAGACCTATTTAGAAGGTTATTATACCTAGCCACCAAAATTTATATTGATCTTTCTAAAGTTTTGAATTACCTTATCACCACTGTACCTGCATCTCTGGCACATCTTAATGGATTAATCAATAAAACAGGAAAGTGTGTACTTCCAAAGAAACTTGAAACGAAAGCACACAGTCAGCCACCTTCCACAGTCGATGCTTGTGTTATAGATGCAACGTTTCTTATCAGATCTTTGTCAGATCTCCCTGCTACCTATAGCGGGGTGGCTGAAATCCTGCTGTCATAGATGTGTGTTCATGCTAGACGTGTAGACTTTGTGTGTGTTACCTGTACAAGTCCATTAATCAAAGACAATGAACGACACTGAGGTCAACATTGTTATTGCTGGCCCTAACAGAAACGACCAAAAATTTTCAGTCAAGCATTGTCATCCGGCCTATTCAAGGCATAACTTCTCAAATTCATTGCAGCTGAATGGGAAAAGGACACCTACAAAGAAATGTTAGACGGTCATGAAATCTATCTAGCACTAGAAGAAGAGTGTTATAAACTTGAAGTAAAAAGAGGATCAGTGCTTCAGCAGATTGTACCTGAACTTGGCTGCCAGCGTGAGGAAGCAGACACAGGAGTTGTTTTGCATGTGAAGCATATCAAGGAAACCATGACAAATACCCAGGTTAGTATTAAAGCAAATGACACAGATATATTAGTGATCCTTCTTTACCATGTTGCAAAGGGTACTGTACTACCAAAGTTTGGATGGACCTTGGACTTAGCAGCAACAACTCTCGTAGATATGTAAATATTACTGCCCTTGCTGCTAATTTCAGAGAGACCGTCTGATCTGCCTTACCAGCAATATATGCTTTTACAGGATGCGACTACACATCATCATTCATGCGTATGATATCATGGAAAAGTCTAAGGTTTTCAGGAAGCCTTTTCCAAGATTGGGGATTATCCAAAAGTACTGTATCTCCAGATGTGATCTTGTCATTAGAATCATTTGTGTGCACTCTCTATGGGAAAGAAAAGTTTAAAGGTGTGATTGATGCAAGATTTGTTTTGTTTAGGCAAAATAATGCACCCGCTACTCCTCGGCATCCACTTGAAAATATTAAGCATAGTGATCCGAGCCTTCTTCCTCCATGCAGATCAGCTTCGGCTGAAAAAAAAATAAGTGTACAAACTACAGTCTGTAGCATCAACATAATCCAGCACAGTGGCAAGCAGAAGACAGCGGCTGGGAGCTCAAACGTGGGCGGTACACAATAAAATGGTTTGAAGGTGATCAGATTCCACAGGAAATATGTGTAGCAATGGATGACACACCATGTTTTCTACAGATGTTAGTGAAGATGAATTAACATATGAATCATGAGGTGAGTCAAGTTATGACTCTGACTGACGCGTACTCACAAATGCTCAATTCATTTTGTGACTAAATAATGCTGTGTACGACATTCTATTTGAATTACAATAGAATTGTTTTAGTTGTTTATTAAGTTCTGGGGTTTGAGGTATGATAAATAGGTACTATATGATTGCTTCATACGAAGATTGAGATTGATTATTATTTGTATAAGAATCATAACAGTGTACCTTTCTTTTGATGCACTTTAATGCAGGTACGGTATGATACAAACATGTTTTGTCTTAGGCATATAATTCAGAGACTGTGATAAAAAATACCGTTTGTCTACAGTTTATATTGTATTTAAGTGCGACACTACAGTATATAAAGTGAAAATGATATATGACAGGGATATTATGCATTTTTACTTGTGCACCATATCAGAAATCGTGTTTTAATGTGTGATAATTGTGCTTTTATGGTTTTTATATGTTTTAATATATAACATCTATGTTTCTATGGTTTTTATAATGTATATTTTTATTTATTTATAAAATTCCAACACAATTGCATAAAATAATAATGTCAAATTGCAATTATGGCGATGTTATTTCCCTGTGTGTAAAAAAAAATCGCCAACACGCTGTACAATTTTTAACCTTTTGCCATAGGTTTTTGGCCAGGCTGTATCACGTAAGAAATGGCATTTTGACTTTCTTATATAATACACGTAATCAGCCTACTAAGACTCGGCCGCCTGAATGGGTACTTTGTGTAATAAAACTACGGTGGACGAACGTTTGGGTCACGGGACGTTTGGGCCACGGGACCTTTGGGCCACGGGACGTTTGGACCACGGGACGTTTGGGCCACGGAACGTTTGGGTCACGGGACGTTTCACGGGACGTTTGGGCCACGGAACGTTTGGGTGACGGGCCACGACCCCTGGACGCTTTGGCCAAGAGCTGTGTGTAGGGTGAATGTTTGGGTCATTGGATTATATTACACCTAATGGTGGAGATTTACATCAAGGAAAAAAAAGAGATTCATGAAACACTACCAATGTTCCCACCTGAGCAGTGCAACATGTTCCAGGTAACTCATGACAACCAACCTAGAACAAACAGCATCTGCGAAGGGTGAACGACCAGTCTTGTGGATCGTGCTAATCCCACAGTCTGGAAACTTATTGGGTTTCTTCAGGAAGAGAGCGCCCGTGTTGACACCATACTTCTTCAGGAGGAGAGTGGTAGCCGTCTAACAAAGCTGGTCAAGACAGCTTATGATGAACTCCAGGGTTGCCTTCGCAACTTGTGCCTGGACACGAATGAAAGGCAGAAAAACCATCCCAGAGCTACCCCGTGGGATAAACTATAATCCTCGTGGAGGACAACCAAATTTTTAAATAATAATATATTGAATTTAATCAATTTTGTATTTCCTATCATATATTGTAATATATGAAAACAAATAAACTGATATTTCACATATATGATTACTATGTTGTTATTTATATTACCTTGTACCATGGCCCAAACATCCTGGGGTCGTGGCCCATGGCCCAAACGTCTTGTACGTGGCCCAGACATTCCGCAGCCCAAACGTTCTACATACTAAAACTACCGACATTTTGGGAACACCCCGCCTGTACTTCCTATCCTTTAAACTTTATCTATGTAGATATACCATAACGAACGCTGTGGATTATCGCAGTCTTTGTTTATAACATACATTTCCCATAACACGAACTATATATAAACTTATCTTAGAAGAGGAAAAGACGATCTTACAATAAACCGCTCTGGAGCCCCAAGGATCTGCTCACCTGAATAGTTTGTCATGTGTTTACCTCTTCATTATCGACTGAACTAATTAAATATAGATAATGAAAAACAGTCTGGCGTATTCAGTAAAAAATAATAAATTTCTATTTTGTTAACTGGAACAACATCATGAAAACTTTAGTTAAGTTCAGCTATATGAAAATTGATATGAAACAGGTATATATATATATATATATATATATATATATATATATATATATATATATATATATATATATATATATATATATATATATATATATATATATAATACATAGATAAGACTGCTGATGCAGAACTAAAGTACAGTCAAGATTGGCGTTATCCAATTAAAGATAATTTTATGTTAGTGTCACAGACCCCAAGTTTAGTGAATACCAGTAACGTAGAACATTAGTTTAGTCAAGATGGGTGATGCAGAACTCAAAATTAGGAGAAACTGGTGTTGTGGAACAGAATTCTGGTCAAGATCGGCATTGAGCAATTAGAGTCAATGACGAAAAGAACGAATTTCCTCACTGGGATCACACAAAACCTTTTTTCAGGTTACCCTTCCTAGCTTCCTCTTGCCCTAGTTATTTAAGTCACACATTGTCCTGAAACAAAACTGTCATCAGCAGGACGTATGGGAGATAGAAAGCAAAGGAGAGAGCCAATCAGAGGGCGGTGGGGCGGATAGAGGATACGTGGACGGATAAAAGACAGAGGAAAGGACGGAAAGAGTATGGACGGACACACCACCCTCTCTACTCTAACCAGCCTGAACACACCAACACACCTCTTTCTTTTTTGTACAAGTTTGAGCAACATTTTTCTATCATCAATTCTCCCTTCATCAAACGTATTTTTTCTCTGTCGCCCTTCTTCTGACTACCTAATGCCCTTCCTCCATCCCTCTTTTCCAATCTCCCTCTCCTTCTTTCTCTCTCTACATCGTCCCTCCCTCCCTTTTTTTCTATCTCCCTCCCTCCTCCCTTCCCTCCCTCCTTTCTTCCTCTCTCCCAACCGCTATCTTTCCCTCCTCTCCCCCTCCCTCTCACCTCCTGGCTGCATTGGTGAGAGCCTTGATGTTCTTGGTGGACCGCCAGAGCTCCCTGATGACGAAGGTGTAGAAGATGATCATGAGGAGGGCGGGGACCACGAACAGCACCAACAGCTGGTAAGTCAGGAACACCAGGGACTCCAACTGCTTGCAGTAGTAAGCCGTCACCCACACACTCCGTGACGGGTCCGTGTACATGACCGTGTCGATGTCCTGTACGTGAAGGGTAAGTGGATTTAGTGTAGGATAAACGTTGAGTAAGTATACATGACAGTGTAGATGTACTATAAAGATTACTTCTAAACTGCTACTACTACAACTCCTACTCCTTCTCCTCCTACTACTACTACAACGTCTTTTAACGTGGCCTCCAACCTCAGCTTACAGCCATAGCTTCCCCACCATTTTATTACATAAATAACCCTAGCTAAGTTAGTTAAGCCGCAGATCTATGCAAGATTCAGTGACTGTTGCCTCATAGTCAATGTCTGCGACTGTTGTTGGCTTAAAGGCCAATGATCTCGTTCCCCGAGGCAAAGCAATGCAGACCTAAGTAGAGAGAAAGAAAGCTACATGTCAACCAGGCTGCAACGAAATTTCTGGGCTGCAGCTTCTGTCCAGATAACACCTCGGCCAGTTAGGCGTAAAAACATCTTGCACTTGGTCCCATCTCACCAGATGTTGTAAAAACCGGAGTGAAGCTACCTTGATCCACGTTCTGAATTTTCTGTACTAAGCCCCATTCTTGTCTTCTCGTTCCTCCTGTGTGTCAGCCTCGAGAGACAGGTCATGGTGACATACGGCCATGGGGTCGAATATCCTGATATCAAAGAAGGCTCGCTGTCCCTGCGTCCAGAATCCTCGAGCACTGACGATCACAGGGGCTCCATTGGTTGTGTTTGAAATCCTGTGATGGAGATTCTCACCGTCCAATGGAAGGAGGGTCGGTTCTACCGTGATGTCGCAGCAGATTTCCTTCAAAATATTCGTTGTGAGGTCCCTTACTTTGTCATGCCTCATGCATACGAAGCCACCCTCCTTTCACATCATGGCATGCTCGATGTCGTAAGATGAGCCACACACGCATTAGGTGGGTATACCTTCTACTGACCATCCATAACTTAGAGTAATTACATCTATAACTTCTTGTTTGCTAAGGCTGAAGCCACTTGCTCTTATCGGAAACGGTGTTAGATGCTACAGCTACTCTTTTTTTTCAAGTTCACTGACATTTGTTGTAACAGTTGTTGAAGTTTATCACTTTGGGTGTGCTGCCATTCTGTCGTAATGGAACATCGAATCTTGTGTAATTCGTTGGTATATACCTCACTTGCTGCATTTTGTTCTACTGTCAGGGAAAGTGCACATCAGGTAGTTCCAGCGATGCTGGACTCTGTGGGTGATTGCTGCAAATGCCGCATGTGGCTCAGTTTTAGCATTAACAGACAAAGCTTTGATTTCCTTCACCCACTCATTTACCTTTCCCGTTACGCACACGGTCTTGAAATCATTCATGCCGATTACCGCACCTAGGTGTCTGGCCGTCCTTTGTTATTTTGACCTCACTTCCGTTGAACACCTCTATGGCCCGGCCATGATATTCTGGCTTAACAGTGAGGAAGGACTTGGTGGCATTTGGGTTTTACTTTGGTTGTTTCATAGTTTATTGTATGCTGGAACACAAATAGAGGTCTGTCGAATTCCTGTAAGTATTTTCAACATACATTGCAACGCTTGGACACTTGATCTTGATGTTGTGCAGTGTAGTCTTGTGGTTGATTACGTTGACTGCATTGGGAGTGTCAACCAGGAGTACAGCCTTACAATCACGCTGCTCAAATATCCTTCTCGTGGCGTGAATGGCAGCTTCACCTCATTCCTGGTGACCAGTGCATACTTGCAGATTCCCCGTTTTTGCCTGACACCATGGTTGACCACCTCCATTATGCATTTTCCAATGATCCATCTCAGCACTTTCCCACCCCTATAGGCTTACATCCTGGATTTTTGTCCAAGGGGATGAGGAATTTGGCTGTCAGAGCTTGTAGGTGATGGCAGCAAGGGCGGCGGTGGCATTGCAGAGATCACTTGCAGCGTCGTCAAACTTGTTAATGCTGAGGAAGCTTCTCCACCTGTCTGCATCCAGGCCTGAAGGGCTTGCACCTCCCTGTGTTTTCATTGCTTTTTTCCACACCACCCCTCAGTTATTTTCTCGAACGGTGAAAAAAAAAACAATCCTCCAATACCAACCAAACAAAAAATTACATGGGTGTTGGGAAGTGAAAACTCGAACTGGTCTTTAAGAATTTCAAGCCTGTAGATCAGGGGTATTCAATTGGCGGACTGCAGTCCGAATCCGGACTGCGGTTAGCTTTGGTGCGGACCCCAGCATCTCATCAAAGAGCAAACGAGTTCCAAGGCAAACCAGTTATCAGAGTTTTTGCAAGATGAAAAGAAAATGGAAATTGTAGCATTTTTAGCAGTTATTACATCTCATCTCAATGCTCTCAATGTCAAGCTGCAAGGAGGAAACAACACAGTGTGTGATCTGATATCAACTGTTCGAGCTTTCCAATATAAACTGGAACTTTTTAAGCACGATCTCCAGGGAGAACTTCTCCACTTCCCCAAACTTTTGGAGCACACCAAAGGAAGGAAATACCATAACCATATACATGTTCAGTTCATCGAGAAACTTGGTGATTATTTCAAGGCTCATTTTGACGATACCTCTCTTGGAAGACAGCTACCGCTGTTCACTCAGGACCCTTTCTTGGTCACAAACGTCTTCGAGTTTGCAGAAGAAGCAAAACATTCAAATGGTTATGTGCAGCATCAATCCAAATGGAACTAACTGATCTCTAAGAAAATGTGGCCTTGAAAGAAGAGGTTGATAACTATGATTCCGTCACATTCTGGACACAGAAGGTGTCTCAAGCTAATTCCCCTCATCTTCACAAAGCCGCATTGCATATCCGCACAATGTTTGGCTTCAATTACCAGTGTGAGTCTGCTTTCTCCGCCATGAAATTAGTGAAGAACAAATACCGCTCCAGCATCATTGCCTTAGACTAGCTATCACATCATTTGTACCAAAGTTCAGGGAATTGACAAGAAGCACGAAGTGTCACTTTTCACACTAATGATGATTAATTACTCAATCAAAGGTCCACAGTCCCAATTACATGTACACTCAGGGTAAAAACCAATCATCCCCCTTTTCGCATTCAACAAAGAGGGTTGAATACTTTTGAACCAGACTGTACATTCTATAATTGCAATATTTTTGTGTGTGCGCGACAGAGATTTAGTTTATTTCTTTTCATTCATCATTCCTCCTCCTTTAACAAGAGTAGAATGTAATACATACATTACCTTCAGTGGGTCTTTTTATGTTACAGATAATTTTTTTCCCTTTTTTCACCCCCCACCCCAAGTTGCCTCTACAGGAAGATGGATGGATGGATGGTTACCTTTATGGCTTCTTTGGTCCATGGGCTCTTGTTCATTTATTTAATTCATTTGCACTGTCAACAGATTTTGATATTATAAATAAATGTAGATGGAAATAAACTGAAATGTGTATTCATCATTTTTTTTTATTGCTTCATATTAAATGAAGTCTCATCCAGACCTTAGCCATTGTTTGACTGTACCTTAACATATAGTAATTAAGTACCCTGGTGTAGATATTTGACCTCATTAAGGTAGCCAAATGGTGCCAGTGTTTCGCCGAGACTCTACTGTGACTAGAGGTGCTGTTTCCTGTCACTGATTATGAGTTTTTGAAAATTACAAAGGTCGCGTCATAAATGCAAGTTTCATGTACTTGGTGTTACGTCAAATCAAAAAAAGTTAGACAGAAAGACAATGAAGCAGGCAGATGGTCGAATATATCGATAAATATGAAGATAAATGTATAAACAGACTGGCGAATATACATGATAGACAGAGAGCTATAGAAAGATAGAAAAACATAACAAATAAAAAGATAAGATTGATAAAGATATCTATAAACAAACAGACAGATAGACAGAAACATAGACAGATATATAGGTAGATACATACAGCTAAACAGATACAAAAGCTATGAGACAAGTCAAATAGACAGTTAAACAGAGACAACCGCAGACCTCAGTGATGCGTTAAATAGCTTCGGCTCTTGTGGTAGAAACTCATTGACACCTAATCTATCAGCCACTGGCGTCCATTCACTCGCATTCTCCAATCAGATTAGAACGTCCGCCAATCAAGCGATCTCCCACAAAAAAATAAAATAAACACAGACTGAATGCATCCAATCAGCTCAGTGTCTCGTTTTATAAAGGAGGTCGTTCTGCCCCGTGCCATAGTGTAAGGAATAGAGAGAGAGACCAATTAGAGATTTAAATCTGAGTTCGGGGATGTGAGGCGATTTGGGGGCGATGAATTGATGGTTTGCAGGTGGGTTGTTGGTGGTGGTGGTGGTAGTGGTGGGGGTTGGTGGTGAGGGTAGTGGTGAAAGTGTTGGTGGGCAGGTGGTGAGGGTTGTGGTGGTGTTGAGTGGTGGCAGATACGGGGTATTATACCAGTAGCCAAGAATGAGTAACATTTTCAAGTTAAATACAATGGGAAGACACATGTAATCCTGAAAATAACTTGAACAAGAGTAATCGATTACGAAATACCTCATGTCTGGTGGTGAGGGTGGTGATAATGGTGGTAGTGAGGGTGGTGATAATGGTGGTAGTGAGGGTGGTGATGAGGGTGGTGATAATGGTGATAGTGAGGTTTTTGATAATGGTGGTGGTGAGGGTAGTGATAATGGTGGAGGTGGGGCGGTAATAATGGTGGTAGTGAGGGTGGTGATTATGGTGGTGAGGGTGGTGTTAATGGTGGGGGTGAGGACGGTGATATAATGGTGGTGGGGAGGGTGGGGATAATGGTGATGGTGGTGATGGTGGTGGTGATAATAATGGTGGTGGTGAGGGTGAGGATAATGGTGGAGGTGGGGATGGTAATAATGGTGGTGGGGAGGGTGGGGATAATGGTGATGGTGGTGGTGGTGAGGGTGATAATAATGGTGGTGGTGAGGGTGGGGATAATGGTGATGGTGGTGGTGGTGAGGGTGATAATAATGGTGGTGGTAACATTACAGTTTTATTAATAGTAGTGGTGGTAACAAAATTACTGGTGGTAGTAGTAGTGTCAGTAATAGTGATAGTAACAAGAGT